AACCCGAGTCTCAAGTCCACAACCTTTGCCAATATAAATAACAATAAAATCTCTATTATTATTATTATCATAGTTACAATAATGTATACCCTGCCCCCATAACAGAGTCGGCTTTCCCGAAATTTACAAACAAGCATCAGACTTGCCAACTTGGCACAATGACAAGTTTATTTTTCAACAATTAAATAACAATAACCTTGTGCTTTTTTATAGTTTTACAGCGGAGATTCCGCGATTTTCCTGATGATATGTCATGGGTGGGTCAGGTTACATTGCGTTAGTCACGTAGCGGGTGAATGGATGGGCTTTTCATGATCAGATGGGTGAGAAAGGCATGGAGATTCCATTGCCCACGCGACTGATATCACGTGCTCGTTTGCGTCAGCAAAGATAACTTGAAAACAATACTCATGTATAGATTTCTTGCAGTTTTTGTAAAAATTTCTAAATTTAATTAAGCTTTACGTCAGAATGTGTATTTTTAGTTTATTTACAGCTTCGTATATTTGACGTTAAGGTTCTGCACTAACACAAAAAAAGAGAATAAATAAGTGTTATAAGAGTGATCTACACCCTAAAATTGGAATTTAATTTTTTAAGTTGGCACCGATGAATAATAATTAAATATGAGCTTAAATTAAAGAGGGTTTAAGTAAGAATAAATCTGATGTTATTTGATTTATTTAAAATTAATTTAACTGTATTATAAACAATGAAAAGTGTGTGATAAAACTAACAACATTAAAAAATGTACCTATTGTGTATGTTTTTGCAAGTTTAAACTGATAATAATCTTTTTAAACTTTAATCTTAATGAATAAGCACCTAATCTTTCCAATATTAGATATGTTTCAGTTTTTACCTCTAACCTTAGGACAAATTTTGAATTAAAGTAATTGAAAACATACAAAGATCTATATTAAGAAAATATACACCTGCCAATAGTGAGGTTATGTCAATATAGGTTTTATATTGTTTCATCGTTTTGTAAATAGTCGGTGTTTGTTTTAATCAATGAAATGCACACATTGTTAAATACCGGTTGCAACAGACTTATACTAGTTCATTAAATAGCGACTTAAAATTAAATCGTGTTAATTGGTCTTTACGTCAAAATGTAATGACATTTTTAGGAAAGTGAGACTAGGTATAACATTTTCTTATCGTTTAATATCATTTTTATCAAGATGTACCAACTTAGTAAAGCTGAAATATTCATCTACAAAATTAATTCTTTATTTTATCTAAATAAGTTATGTATACTGGGTGTGTCAGAACACGCGCCCCAGAGAAAAATTTCAAGTAAGATATCAGGAACATGAAAAAAATGTTTAAAAAATTCTATCTGCCAAAAAATTTTGACATTTGACATTTTTTTAATGTCCACTTAATGATACTGATAATGTTGTGTAATAATTATTTAGTAAAGGTAGAAAAATTTTGCCAATAAAAGCCACAAATAACATTAAAGAGAGTAACAATTTAGGATACTGCTTCCTTGTTTGCTCTTCTAATAACATGTGGCAAAAAAACTTGGAAAATTATTTTTGAAACAAAAATAAATAGTCAAAGTGCAAAATTTAAACTCTCATAACTTCGAAATTTTCATAGATAGGATTTTTCTAACATTTTTTCCATGTTGCTGGTATCTTTCTTATCTTATACATGGCATTTTTTTTGGGGCGCGAGTTTTGGTACAGCCTGTATATTTACTTATTAGTTTACTTTTTTTACTTTATCAATATTTTAGGATTTGTGCTATAATGCCGGGATATCTATCATTCCTATCACTTCAGTCCGCAGCAAATGCACTCAATATTTTTGCAATCATGGATTTGATATAACAAATTATTAATATAACCTGTTTAATTATAATTTTAATTACACAATATCCTTCTCATTCTTCAAAAAACTAAAGAAATAAATCGATATTTTTGACTTTTATAACAAAATGCGAATAAAAAAAGTGCAATACAAATTTATGGTACATTCAAAGAAAAAAAATTATGTTCCGCTTTATTAAAATAGTGATTACTCTTACTGTGTTATCATGGCATCACAATTTCAACAGAGCGCAGGCTCAATTTCTCAGGATTTATACATAAACAAAATTAATGATTGAATAGTGTAGTGTAACAAAACAAAATAATAAAATCGATAAGTCTCCACGTGTAGTCTTTGTTTATTATTTACTTGCAAACACGCGAGATCTGAAATACATAATGAAAAAAAAACTCAAGTAACAACTTCAAAACAAGTATATTTTAATTCTTCTGCCGAAGTTAAATAGAAAAAGTTATGTTATTACTGAAGTTATACGGTTCTGCTCCCCCTATTTTTTTGTACAATTATAATAAACAATAAGGCGAAAAACAATGAAAGTGTTATCATTAGACAATGAACAAGGTGTAAAATAACAAGTGAGAAAATGTGTTTGTTATCACAATACAAAAATTACTTTATTTACGAAATAAATATTTATGAAATTTTCCGTGAATGAAAAAACCTAAATTGTTTCTTTATTAAAATATAAAATATAAATAAAAGCATTGATCCATAAAACCTAAATAGGATTATGAAGCTTGTTTACTGGTCAACAAGTAAATAATATGTGAAAAACAATAAAAAAAATCAAGACAATTGTTATTTGATATCAGGACTGGCGAATTCAAAATCACCTCGAAACCATTTCTACTCAATTATTTATGGCATTTTATGATGTAACACTCAATTCGGGTTAATTTCATTGAAATTACAAGATTGCAAAAAACCACCCTCATTTCATATAATGTAATTACAGAAATTAAATCCCAGCCTGAGGAAATATTCTGGAAAGCTGCAAACGTGTAAGTAGAGGGGGCCCATGTTAATTTTATCCACGGACAAGATTTAGATGATCTAAACTCGACTTATAAATAATTGAATAACAGATATGTTTTTGTTTAAAATTATTTTCATTACACCTAATGTAATCAACAGGTAGCTGTGTATTTAACTCCAGTACGAATTCAACTGAATTAATTTCAAGTTTCCACGAATAAATATTGATTTTTTGCACGCATCACAAAATTAATTTAGAGCAAATTCTTCGCACACTTTTATAATAAATAAAGTAATTAATTATGGCACTCCTCTTTTTTTAGCTCGTCTATTTATAAAATGATATAAAGTCTGGCGAAACTATTCACAATAAAAATTCTCGATTTTAAATTGGCGAAGTTGGCATTAATAAAAATCGCTTTTTTTATTACGCAATTCTGCAGCACGTGTCCGGGCACCCGGATTGCGCCGGCGTGCTTGGCATTGACACTTCGACCAGCTGTTTTTCCGGCTTTTCTCAAATTTTCTTACCTCTTATCGGAAATGGTTTGGTTTGAACAGTTTCCGTATTGGGCGGTAGGAGCCTTTTGGTCTCCGGTGACATTAGACTGGGACATGCTTTGACTTCATTGGCTTTGCAATAGGTGTAAGGGCCTGAGCCCACTCCGCATCCGTTTCGCACACGAAGGGACCCACTCAGTATATCCAATCCACTACTCATGTCCCACACTGTATACTCCCAATGATACCGAACACAAACTGAGCGAAACTGAGCCGATTCCGTGTGCTAAGTGCTTTTAGACAGGTTGACACAGGCGCAGGAACCGGTAAATTGGAGAGGGACTGAGGATGAAATCGACCAATAGCGAAACGTTTTGATCATACCACGTTTCAGGGGAACGGGATTGTACGAGGGGGGCTCAATATAGATCGTAATTTCGTAATTGACTTACTAGATAGATTAATCATTAGCAAAACAAACACAATCAGGTGTATTCCGATTTCGACTTCCGTTTGAGCGATTCCATTGGTGTTTACTATGAGTGACGTCCTGTCAGTAGACAATCGGCTCCAATTGGAGCAATTTTATTGGTCTCTCTGTCACAACGACGGATTTCATTGGTGGATAAGAAAAACCAATGAGCCAGTTAAATACGACCTTATGTCGCACCCGTTAAATATTTTTAAAGGCTAGAAATTTTTTTTTCAAAGTAATTTTGTTTATAGAATTATAAAAGAGTGAGTAATTGTATGCATTTTAATTAAGCAGTGAATGTAATAATGTTCGGCTACTGCTTTGTTAAAAATAAGTAAATTATGTCGATTGTTTGTTACACAGAAGATAAGACAACAACTTAACAATCAATTTAATTACAAACTGTTGACAGCAAAGTGCTTGTAATTTGATCTCAAATTGATTAATTATTGATTTTGGAAAACCCTAAATACTTATGTAAACTAAGTGTGATTGATTACTAATGAATAAATACATAAAGCATTAAACGTATTGTCGCTAAATTATGTTATTTGATATTGCAAGCAAAATTTTCCTATGGAATATTTTTGAATATTTCCAAGTTGATAGCAAATTGTATTGTATCGTTCTTTGAACAAAGCTACAATAAAAGGGAATGTTGTATTTTCTGTTCAACTAAAACTAGCTATGTGGGAAGGCATGCTATGGAAAAGGACTTATTAGAAAGGTAATAATTTCTACCCATCACTTATACTAAACATTTGTAAGTAAAAAGAGCGTATTTAATGAAAATTAGTTAATGTTATTTTATGTATAGATTTTTAATTGACCATTAACTTCTCTTGGGGAGTAAAGTAAATTGTGCTGTCCATGTATTAGATAAATTAAGTCTTGTAATATCTAATTATTGTTACAATCAACAGCTTGTTTCATTTAGGACCAAAATTTTTAATTAGAAGTTATGAATTGCAATGCTGTATAACTGGTTGCCTACCTCTATATACATGTTTGATTCTGTTGCGCAATTTTTTATGGAATATTTTAAATGCAAAAATCTGACTCTTTTCTAGTGTTTATTTAAACTTGATTACACCACAAAGCATTGTTTTAATCGCTATAATACAAGGTCCATTTAATTTGATATAAGTTCTTGTTAAATATGTACAACTCGAATAAATTAATATTTTTTGAAGAAACAAAAACAAAAGTTTTAAAATAAATATATTTTTAAGCCTATTTTATAGACAAAAAATACAATTCTTGTGATTAACGTTGCAAAGCGGCAGTATCAAGTCCTGGGGCCTCCTTCTTAGCAAGACCACCCAACAATTTCTTTATTTCCGCAATAGCTTTTCCAGGATTCAAACCCTAAATAAAGCAATAAAATAAAATATGACAATAATGTTGATGAAACTTACTTTAGGGCACGTTTTTGTGCAATTTAAGATAGTGTGACATCTGTACACTGAAAACGGATCTTTCAATTTATTCAATCTTTCCGCAGTTGCGTCATCTCTGGAATCAATGATCCAGCGATAGGCCTGCATCAGTACAGCAGGTCCTAAATACTTGTCACCGTTCCACCAATAACTAGGACATGAAGTTGAACAGCAAGCGCATAAAATGCACTCATATAAACCGTCCAATTTTTGGCGGTCATCCATACTTTGCAAGTATTGTTGGCGCTCCCCTGACTTCTTCTCATCCCTTGATTAAAATAGATAGTTGCGAATTACATACATTGTTTTTTCTACTCACCGGCGTTGCAGCCAGGGCTGTATCGACTTATACTGTTTATAGAAATTAGTCATATCAGGTACAAGATCTTTAACAACGTACATGTGGGGCAAGGGGTAAATCTTAGTGGGTTTATCTAAACTAGTATCAATTTTACAAATACAAGCCAGCGTGTTAACTCCCCCTATGTTCATGGCGCAAGACCCACAGATCCCTTCGCGACACGACCTCCTGAATGTCAAAGTTGGGTCCACTTCGTTCTTAATCTTAATAAGCGCGTCCAAGACCATGGGGCCACAGGCATTTAGATCAACTTTGTATTCCTGCACCCAGGGCTTTTTATCAGGCTGGTCGGGATTCCACCTGTAGATAGCAAACTTCTTTTCGCGGACATTTTGTCCCACAGACGCGCTTACATGAAAATTACGAATCTGAAAGTAATTATGTAACAAGTGAGGTTAGAAAAAAAAAACATTTGGTACGCACCTGCCCAAATGTGCCTTTGGCCACCTTGAAAAGCTGCATTTCGCGAGACATTTTGTAGCTTTCCACAAAGAACGAAAATATTTGCTTTATTTTTGGTGAACTGCGAGACAGTTTTGGTTACTCACTGGCAACACAAAACTGAAAAGTTGGCAACACGTCAAGAGTACCAACACCAACAATAACCTTGAACTTTTATTTATCGACAAAATTGGCAAAAAATGACCAGCTTTTATCCTAAATCTAGGATTTCCGGTTTATTACTGTGATTTGTTGGTATTTTTTAAATTATTATGTAATGATTAGGGAGTTTTTGTGGCGTCCCCTGTCAAAGAGTAGCCGAAGCTTCAGTTGGGGCCCAAACCACTGTCAGATTTGGCTTCAAATGTCAGAAAATTGCCACTTGCCTTGCCAGCCCATCATTTTGATTTCATTTCGTGCTTGGCAGTCGGTATGAGTGCAGTGTTTCGTGTCGTTCCTCGCTTCTAATTAAATATTTACTGTTCCAGCGAGACATAACCAAGTAAAACTGGAGGAATTTAGGAGATCCAACTTTTTCTAGGACGGATTTTCTGTTTTTACAGTACAGTAAGTTCCATTTTGCCTATCTCGTTGCCTCCATCCTGATTTCTCAGGTCAACATGCTGAGATGTAGTGACACGTCAACTGACTTGCAAGTAAATTTGGCTGCTTTCGAATCAAACAATTCGGGATGGGATTTGATCGGACTTGGGCCGGGTTTTCTAAATTCCACTTTTCGATTTTTCACGTTGTTAACTTATTCACTTTTCGTCCATATGCTGGCGTGCGGTCGAGCACCCGACAATGAGCTCTTCTTATCTCTTTAACCGCGACTTGTTTTGTGCCACATGTGCAATTATTTTTCACCGATTTTGACCCTCCTATTCACAAATTCATAAAAGTCATCACGAAGAATGGTTGACGTTCGCGAATTTTCAAATCTATTTGCGATTAACATAATCTTTGACGTAAAAAAATGACACCGATATCTATACAGTGGACACGAAAAATTATCATTTGACAGCTACATACTAGACCACAATTCTGTTGGAATTGTCAAGGTCACCTTTTTCTTTTGTGGAATGCCGGAAGATTTGTTGCCAAGTGAGTTCAATAGATTTTAATCGTAAACAAAACTACCTCTACTTCTCTACTAAGTTTATAACTTGTTCCAAATTATTTGTTTTGTGACAAAACTTATCATAATTGTCTAAACCCAAACAACCGAATTTAAGCTACTTGACTCGTTATATAGAAGTAGAAACCAATTAATAATAGGGTAAAAGTGGACTACCCCAACATATTAACTGTTGTTTCAATAATGAATTTATGAATTATTCTATTAAAATTCAAGCTTTTATTTCGTAAGTGTCGCTTTACGTATGATTGGACAAGTACAATAAATCGCTTAAATTGATTTATTTTTGATGGAAAGTCGAAGAAAATATATAAAGAGGGTCAAGGGAAATGCTGTTTATTACCTGGGATAAAAAACTGCAATTTGGCAATGAAATAATGAAATTATTAATTGTAGTCAACTTTTTAACCACAAATTAATTACGTATGAAGGGAATATTTTTTGTTGTAGTATTACGTCGCATATACCTACATAGTTTGTTCTGTGGTATTTAATCAAAATTTAGTAATTATAGCGGAATTTACATATTTAGAATTACTCTATTATGTTTTCTCTTCATTTATCCTATGAAGCTTTGTATTAACATTATCCTTGTCTAACTGTGACGAGATAAGACTCGCAGCAGTTTAACTTGGCTTTATAATAACAGAGGGAGAAAAAAGTCAATAAACTTAAGTGTTATGAATTCATACTTCATTCATAATTTACGTTAAGTCCGGTAATTGTTGCTTGGTTACCCTTACCGGCTCTGGTACAATAGCTAACTTCCCGTACTCAAAATGGAGCCGGCAAACTGAATCTACCAGACAATATGACATACACAAAAATTTCAAGTAAGGTAAGATACCAGGAACATGGAAAAAATGTTAATTTTTTTTAACTTCTTCATGTTCTTGGTATCGCACATTACATTTTTTTCTGGGACGCGAGTTCTGGCGCACCGTGTATATAATTTTCTAAAATTGTCACCTTTTTTTAAATTTTTTATATTTATTCGATTCATAGTATGTAATAAAATAAGGCAGGAAAATATGAGCTTCTGTAAAGTTTTAAATGTTGGAAAGTACTTACAATTGAATTTTAATGTAGCCGACATTCAAGCTTCTACAACCGATTAACTATAACCTTGACCTCTCTATTACATTTGTTCTTACAATTTATGTTAATCTACTGTTACTTTTCAGTTATCGAAAATTGATAAAGTGGCTTAAAATGTCGTAAAGAGTTAACATAATTGTTGAACATTTAATTTTTCGAAACAAGATTTCTATTTGTCTGATAAGGATTTATATGGTTACTCGGACGAACTTAATGCTGTGCAAACTTTCCTCTGGTTTTAATTTAGCTTCATAGCCAAATTTCTTGATACCTGAATTTGCTTTATCTTTGCTAATGCTTCAACGGTTCATAAAATTATATAAAGTTGTAAAATAACGAAACTAATCTCAGATAAAACGATCATATTTCTATCAATATATCTCTTGTTTCACAACTACTTGAGTAGACAATAAGAGAAACCAACTTTTGGATGTGATAATAATAGAGTATTGTCAAATAAGTGTGTCTACAACTGAGATACCAATCTTGCCGGATGCATTCTGATAATTTATTGTTTAATTGATTATCGATTATTGTTTTTTGTTTCAGTGTTGCTGTAACGACTTGGCACGACACAGGACAATCCGAAAATGCAGCAACCAGTGATTGAAGAGGGTGCGGCTTACGAGCCTTCCGTAAGAAGCTACGATGATCTATTTCCAGCTTTGCCCGAATCGAACACACAAAGTCAAAATCACAACACTATGGGACAATGGAATAATAAAATGAGAGTCGGTTCGTCGGTCATCACTCAAGTGTTCCGGTTAGTTTTTCGATTGATAATAATTAATTAGCAGTTAGAATCAAAATGAAATTTATTTAAAACGATGTAGAGAAAATTACGTTGACCTCGAGCGTATTGATGTATTGACGAATTGATTCATTGAATTGTTTTTTCATGTGTTTTGGGAGATTCCGATGGTTTCGGAAAAAAGGGTGTGGGCAGATAGGGAAAAAATAGTCTGGTTGCCGCGGCGACTCATATAAAACAAAGTGGGCCTAGGGCAATTTGTAATCAGTAATCAGACAAAAAAAATTGTGTTTTACACCTCTATTAAATAATGAATGAGAATCAAACGTAATAAAATCTCTCTCTAAATTGTCGTAAAAAGTTTTGATTTTTTTAGTTACAAAAGTTTACTATACTCATTCATGTTTACATGTGGTAATTTCACCTTATATTTATTTCAATATAATAAAAAAAAATATCTCGAGAGTTTGAAATATTTATGTACTCTTGAAGAATTTTTTAATAGAAAAAAAAAGATTCTGTAGTAAGCTGGAGGTAAGATTTTCTCTTATTTGATTACTTCTGAAATGTCACATATACAGTGTGTTTCAGTGAGTTGAAAAAGTTCATTAGTGACTTTTAAATGGTGAAATTAAAAAAAAAAATTATATAGGACATTGATAGATACTAATCTAGTCCATCGCCTAAAATTATTTTCATCCATACAGCATGTCCTAAAAATAAGTTTCAATACAAACTTGTGTTTTTCTAAATGAAACACCATATGTTTTTTAACGTTTTTGGATGTGACAATGTTTTTAAGCTAAACTTTTATTGGTCGATTTTGCTTAGTTTTAAAAATAAGACGGTTATATGACGAAAACATCCACTTTTTAAAAATTTATTACACAAAAACTAAGATATCTAGAAAAAAAAAATTTTACCACAAAGAATAAAGTACAAGCTATAAGGTTGTAATATTTTTTTAGTGTGTTGCATTTGTAAACATAAAAAAAAAATGAAGGCGTTTGTTCAATAACTTAAAAAATTTAAATGTAACACCATATTTATTGTTTTTGCATTTAAAAGATTATTAAATTGTTTTCTTAAAATTATTTATTTTTAGGTGTTTATAGTCAGCAACTAAAAAGATATTTAACGTTAAACATTAAAAAAAAATAATTACTATTGTTTCAGTAGCCAAAAAGTGCACAGTTGCACAAGAGATGGAAGAAATATCACATAATAATCACATTTGTGTTAAACTGAATCCATTATTCTTTATTTTTACAATAAAATAATTCGAATTTCAGTATTTATAATGACTTTTACAATCTGTGTATAAATAAGTGATCCGTGGTATGGTTCCTATGTAGGAACTCTAATCCGTGGTGGAATTACTATAGTTGCCATAGTATCAACAATGCTCATATATTGATAGGCATTGTTGCTACAATTAATATTGAGTGTTAAATATCTTTTCATTTATCAATTCTAGACATTAAAAGTTTCCTTTTTTAGGTAGACAATTTATCAATCTGTTAGATGCAAAAACAATACGGTGTTTTATTTAAATTTTTCAAGTTATTAACTTTTAACAAACTTCTTAATTTATTAATCTTTACAAATGTAAAACACTAAAAAATTGCTACAGCTTTAAGTTCTGTACTTTCTTCTTTGCAGAAGTAAAAAAAAAGTTTGTTCTAGCTATCTTAGTTTTTGTGTAATAAATTTTTTAAAAGTGCATGTTTTCGTCAAAAAAAGTCTTATTTCTAAAACTAAGCGAAATCGGCTAATAAAAGTTTAGCGTAAAAACATTGTTAAAAGGCTACATCTGAAAATGCCTAGAAACATATGGTGTTTAATTTAAAAAAACACAAGTTTGTATCATAACTTATTTTTGGGACACGCTGTATGGTTGAAAATAATTTTAGCTGATGCACGAGATTAGTATCTATCTAAAGGCCACTAATAATCTTTTTCAACTCGCTGGGACATTTTTATGTATGTGATGAAACTTAAAAAGCAGAGAAAAATTAAAAACATTTAAATCAAGTCCAAAATCAAGAGAAAAATGAACTTTTCTTTCTACTGAATCAGAATAATGAAGTTTTAATTACAGATTTGCTCGTTTTAGGTGAAGTAAAAAATGTTTTTTTCTTTGCAGTTTTGACTTAAAATTAAAAATAAGATTTTTTTCTATCAATCAATCCGGAGATTGATATTGTATATTTTTTCGTATTTGCTACTCCTTTGAGGTAATGAGTTTTGGTTGTCTTTGTCTCTGGCAGGGTACCATTCGAAGAACGTAAGCTGGACGGCAGTCAAAAATTCGGCGAGGGCGAATCTATCCAGACTTGCGCGAACATCATGAAAGAGACCGGAGCTCACATCGAAATCTCCCACGCGAAAGACCAATCGCTCACATTTTTAGTAACCGGAAAGCAGAACGAAGTCTTGGAAGCCCGCCGCAAAATACTAACCCATTTCCAAACTCAAGCCAGCAAACAAATAGCCATCCCGAAAGAACACCACCGCTGGATTTTAGGTAAGAAAGGCGACCGTCTCAAAGAATTAGAAAAACAAACGGCGACTAAAATCTCCGTACCGCCTATGAACGACCCATCAGACATCATCAGTATCACCGGAACGAAAGAAGGAATCGAAAAGGCCGAACACGAGATTAAAGTCACTTCAGACCAGCAGTCGAAGAAGGCATCAGAACGGATCAACGTCCCGAAAATTTATCATCCGTTTATCGTGGGGCCTTACAATGACTATCTTAACCAACTAATCGCGGAAACTGGGGCGAAAATCAACGTCCCTCCACCGTCCGTTATGAAAGACGAGATTTTTATTGCAGGAGAGAAAGAAGGTGTCTTAGCCGCTAAAGCTAAAATCGAAGCCATTTATAAACAAATGGAGAAGAAATGCACCACAGTCTCAGTCGAAGTTCCTAAATCGCAGCACAAATACGTCATCGGGCCTAAAGGGGCGACGATAGCTGAAATATTGCAAACGACTGGAGTGAGTGTGGAGATGCCTCAAGGCGATTCGGCCACTGGAACAATCACTCTGAGAGGACCCCACGATAAGCTGGGTTTAGCCTTGAGTAAAGTCTACGAAAAAGCGAATTCGGTGCGATCGAGCGATGTTGAAGCGCCATCATGGATCCACAAATACATCATCGGCCGCAAAGGACAAAATATCAAAGAGATTACGCAAAATTTGCCCAAAGTACACGTCGAATTCACCGAAAAAGAAGACAAGATTAAGATTGAAGGACCCCCAGAGGAGGTGGAAAAAGCACAAGAACAAATCGAAAAGATGGCCAAGGATTTGATCAAAAAGCTCATTTTTATCGAGATGCATGTCGATCCGAAGCTGTTTAAGCATATCATTGGGAAGAATGGCGCCAATGGTGAGCCATAATGAGTATTTTAAATTTAAAATTATTAATTTTATTCTAGTGAATCGACTTAAGGAGGAGTTTGCAGTGGTGATAAACATCGACGAGAGCGGTCTTATTCGTATTGAAGGTCACAAAGACGGTGTTTTGACTACGAAACAAGAGCTTGAGGACCGTATCAAGAAACTCGAAAACGAGAAAGAAAAAGATGTGATAATCGAGCAACGCCACTACAAGAGTATTATCGGCGCAAAGGGTGAAAACATCAAAGAAATCCGTGAGAAATTTAACCAAGTACAAATCTATTTTCCCGGCGCTGGCGATAAAAACGACATCGTTAAAGTTCGCGGCCCGAAAGAAGACGTCGACAAGTGTTGTCGCCATTTAGAGAAATTAGTTAAAGAACTGAACGAACAGTCATATCAAATCGAAGTACCGATCTATAAGCAGTTCCACAAGTTTATTATTGGCAAAGGTGGGGCCAACATTCGAAAAATTCGCGAAGAGACACACACGAAGATTGATTTGCCGGCTGAAGGTGACAAGAATGATGTGATTACGATTACGGGTAGGAAAGAAGACGTCGAAGAGGCGCGCGAGAAGATTAGGAAGATTCAAGACGAACTGGAAAATATTGTCTCGGAGGAGATCACGATTCCTCCCAAATTTTACAATTCGTTAATTGGGGCGAAAGGGAAACTTATTCATTCGATTATGGAAGATTGCGGCGGTGTTGCTATCAAGTTCCCGAGTGCTGATAGTAAGAGTGATAAGGTCACCATTAGGGGACCTAAGGATGACGTGGATCGTGCCAAACAGCAACTGCTTGATTTAGCTAACGAACGCCAACTTGCCAGTTATACCGCCGAGGTGAGTGTCTCAACATTAGTTATTTTTTTCGTTTGATATTGATCGTCCTTTCTTACTCAGGTACGTGCCAAAGCTCAACACCACAAGTTCCTGATTGGCAAAAACGGTGCCAATATTAAGAAAATTCGCGATTCGACTGGAGCTAGAATCGTGTTTCCTTCAAGTACCGACGATGACAGAGAAATCATCACAATTATCGGCAAAAAGGAGGCTGTCGAAGAAGCCAAAGCGGCCCTCCAAGCCACTATTAAAGATATTGTAAGTTGTATCATTATTTTTATAAATATTTTGATTTAGACTGATGTCTGGGTTAAAATCGAGCAAAATTACATTGAAAATTGCACGACTCTGTGGAAGAACCAATCTGAATTTAGTATTTAACTAGCTGATGTGGCCAAATTCTGTAGGATTTGATTAAGAGTTTCAGTTTTATTTAGCAAAGTGTTTTTTTGACTGTGTAAAATAATGTTTGGGTCGCTTCAGGTCACTTAACGTTACTTCGGGTGGCTTCGGATTACTTCGGCTTGGAGAAAAAAGAAAGTGTTAAACGTACTGATTTCTTGATTATCAAACAGAAGTTTAAAATTTTTTAGAGAAATGTTTAAATTTAGTAGTAAAAATTTTACACGGGTGTGAGAGCGTTCAAGCTCTCACGTTTTAGTAAGGTATAATATAATCGGTCTTATATGAATATGACTAATAATTCAAGAATGTCGCTTTTCAAATGGAACAGATTGAAGTTTAAGAGAAAGACACAAACAAAAAAATTAACAAAACAAAGAATAATTATTAAGGCATAAATTAATTAACACTAGGGCCGATATTGTTGCTTTTTTTTTATTATTAAGGCATAAATTAATACAAAATTTTAATTAAGTTTTAAGCTAAAAATGGTTGTAAATCAACGTATTTTAACAAAATAAGATAGATTGTTGTTTTTAAACAAAATAATACAATTTAAGCTACTTTCAAAGGTTTTAGCTTGGTTTAATAAAGGCAGAAATCGTTGTAAATCAACGTATTTTAATAAAATGTAAATCGAGACTTTTCAAAACATCGTGCTTCAAGAGACAGTTGGGGAGACTAAGGTGTCAGGTGTACCGGCTTAAAAGAAATTTTTGCAAAAAAACATTTAAAAATTTCTTGAAAAATGCTTAAGTTTAAAAAATGTTAATCGAGACTTTTTTAAAACATTGTGTTGCAAAAGACAATGGGGGAAACTAAGAAAGTGTCTAGAAATATCGGTTTAAGCAATACCTAGATTTGCAAAAAACGTTTAATTTTTTTTTAAATAGAAATGCTCAAATTTAAAAAAATATAAATTGCGACTTTTCAAAATATTGCGTAACAAAAGACAGTTGGGGAAACTAAGGAAGTGTCAAGAAATACCGGCTTAAAAAATTTCTAGACTTGCAAAAAAATGTTTAAAAATGCTCAAATTAAAAAAAATGTTAATCGAAAATTTTCAATATATCGTGTTGCAAAAAAGAGTTAGGAGTCTAAGAAAGTGTCAAAAGTATCGGTTTAAAAAGTTTTTTAATTGCAAAAGGAAAGCTTTTAACATCTCAAATTTAAAAAAAAATAAAACTTTAAAAAATGTTGGTCGAAAGTTGGGCTATAAAAATAGTTGGAAATAATAACAAAGTGTTTACAAAAATCACCTTACTGGAAATATAAACTGGAATTGAATAAATGGAATTTTTAGAATGTTTTTTGACATAAACAAACTCTTTGTACCGATTTTTACTCAAATTGCAATTTAATGAACTGACTATTTTGGCAAATTATATGATATTATTTGACAAATTTATAAATTTCTTATGTTATTGTAAATTTGGTCTGTTGCAAGGAAAATTTTGTATGTACTTTTAGAATAAATATCGTTAATTCCTCAAATGAAAATATTCCCGGCTCTTTCGGCCGTCTCAGACATTAAATACATTCTCGGGATTACAATTCTTGTCATTTTTCAAATTTTTTTCATTTCAAATGAAAAATCTTTTAGGACAATATCATCGAGAGCGAGATGTCGGTGGAACCTCGCCACCACAAGCACTTCGTGGCCCGTCGCGGCGAAGTCCTTCACAAGATAAGCGACGAGTGCGGTGGCGTGATGATCTCTTTCCCTCGTTCGGGTGTCGACAGTGACCGCGTCGTCCTCAAAGGCTCCAAGGAGTGCATCGAGGCGGCTAAGCAACGCATCAACGAAATTATCCAAGACCTTGAATCGATGGTAACTATCGAATGCATCATCCCGCAGAACCACCATCGCACCGTTATGGGCGCCAAAGGCTTCAAGGTGCAAGGTATCACCTCTGACTTCGACGTTCAGATCAAATTCCCTGATCGGGAGAACACAGAGGAGTACCCCGGCCATGAGCAACTGAACGGCGACATCAACGGGGGGCCGGTGCGCCAATGCGACGTCATTCGCATCACCGGTAAAGAAGAAAACTGTCTCAAGGCGAAACAAGCTCTCTTGGATTTGGTCCCGGTGACTATCAACGTGGACGTGCCCTATGACTTGCACAGGTCGATTATCGGACAAAAAGGCCGCGATGTTAAGGAATTGATGGACAAGTATGACGTCCATATTGTTCTTTCTCCAGCTGGAGTTAAAAAAGATGTGATTAAAATCACCGGAACGCCGAGTAATGTCGAAAGGGCTAAAGAGGCATTGTTAGAAAAAGTGCAAGAGTTGGAAGCTGATAGGAAAGATCGCGAATTGAAGTCTTTTGCGTTGAAAATTGAAGTCAATCCCGAGTATCATCCGAAGATTATCGGTAAACGCGGAGCTGTTATCACGAAAATTAGGAAAGATCATGACGTGCAGATTATTTTCCCCAAAAAAGGTAAGTTTATACTTGTTTGTGTTTTGCTTGTTGGTAAACATGGCGATGAATGGATGTAGTTTACGACAAGTGGGTAATAAAGAGCCGCTTTTCATTGATAAATCGCGTAATGTGAGTACTAAAAGCGGCGTAATTACGTTTGATTGTGGGTAAGATGATAGTGGGGGCACGTGGTAATTGAAGTGTTGACTTACAAGTCGTAAAGAAGTCATAAAGAATTTTCAATATCTCGGCCTTTAATTGAAAAATGAAGATGGAACTAACGCCATTCGATAGAACAGGGAAAAAACTCACGGGTTGTCCGAAAATCAAAAAAATCCAAAATTGAAAAAATAAAATCAAAAGAATCTCTAAAACAAAATCAAAAAAACTAATAATGTTTCAAAATCAAAAAAAAATCAATTGTCAAAATCCAGAAATCAAAAAATATCAAAAATACAAAAAAACAAATCGAAAAAATAAAATTCAAAAACCAAGAAAATTAAAACTTAAATGATTTCGCAAAATAGGGTTTTAGAGGACAAATCGTAATTAATGACGAGGCGACGTAGGAGTCGAGTCTTTAATGAGAGGAGTCACCTAAAACCTTTTGCGTACGTGGTGCATACAAGATTTCTTTTGTTAAAGCTACCAAAACGAATTACACCTCTTACTAATTAAAAAAAAAATTCGTTATCATAGTAACCAATTTTATTTTTTAGTCCGCAAAAACTGTTTTTGGAGACTGAGTACCTAAAATAACCGTTTTGCGTCCGAAAAAGACTCATTTTAGGGACTCAAATGAGTTTTAGGGAGCATATACAAAAAATATATATAAAAGAAATGTTTTTTCAAAATTAAGCTTTTATTTAAAAAATGTACAAAATACTTTGGTCGTCACTTTTCTGACACTTTCATGAAATTCAACCTTTAACGTTAAAATGAATGACAATTTCAAATTAATGACAGCTATTATATTTTCCTATAAAAAATATGTACATACAACTTGACAGTAGCTAAAAATAAGTTAACAATCCTAAAGCATGCTTTACCATTTAGTGTCACCCAAGTGACATTGACGACCAAAGTATTTTGTCTCCAACTGTACTAAAAAGTTTCTTTTTTTCTGTCAGGGAAGAACATTTGCTTATACCTTAAGATTGTTAATAGCACAATTACTTTGCTCAAAGTTTTTTATAAATTTTAAAATCTTAAGGTGTAAACAAATGTTCTCTGACAGAAAAAATTTTTTTGCTTTTTAGTACATTTTTTTAAGTTATAGCTTATTTTAAGGCCTAGAACTACTCGTGTCCCAGAGGAAAAAGCTATGTAAGGGTAAACATAGAAAAAATGTTAAAAAAATTCTATCTATAAAAATTTCGAAGTTATGAGTTTAAATTTTGCACTCTATTTATTACTGTTGGAAAAATAATTTTCTAAGTTTTTTTGAGACAGGATATTAAAAGAGGAAACAAGGAAGCTGTATCCTAAATTGTAACTCTGTTCAATGTTATTTGTGGGTTTTATTGGCAAAATTTTTGTCCCTTTACTAAATAATTATACAAGATCATCAGTATCATTAAATAGACATAAAAAAGTCAAATGTCAAAAATAAAAAACAAAATATCTGAGAGAGAATTTTTAAACGTGTTCTTCTAGTTTCTGGTATCTTATCTTACTTGAAATTATTTTCTGGGGCGCGAGTTTTTGACAGCCTGTATATTTTTTTCGTGTGTTTCAATAATTGAGTAAACTATTCGGAGTTTTTTTTATTAAATAAACATAAAACTCAGCTAAATGAGAAAATAATGTGATTGTCTTATTCTTGAAAGTTAAGAAAAAAATGTATGAGTAACAAGAAAGTTTAAAGTTATTGCGAGTTAATTTATGTTTCAGTAAAGGTCAGGTTTTGTGCTTTTGTATATGTCATTGCTTGTATATTTTGTAATTATGATTTCTTGTTCTTAATTTTAGGTGATCCAGACGAGCAGATAATCACTATCACCGGCTACGAAGAGAACACCCATAGGGCAAAAGAAGACATAATGAAAATCGTCAACGAACTCAACGAACTTCTTCGCGAGGAAGTCCAAATCGACTCGCGAGTTCACTCACGTATCATAGGCGCTCGCGGTCGAAACATCCGCAAAATCATGGAAGATTACAGAGTGGACATTAAATTTCCTCGTCCCGAAGACACCGATCCGAATCTCGTCATTATAACCGGCCACGAGGAGAACGTCGTGGATGCTAAAGAGCACTTGATGAGTCTAGAAGAACAATACGTGATTATTTACAAAAAAGGTTATTTTTTTTTTCTAATGTTTGAGTTTCAGTTGGAAGACGTCGCGGATCAAGAAGATAGAGAGAAACAACACACTTTGAGCTTTCATTTCGATCCAAATATGACGGGCAGCCGCTCTCGCGATCCCAATGGTTTTGTGGTTAAAGGGGGGCCGTGGGAGCAAAAGGCTCCCAACACCGCCAGCGTGACCGAATTTCCCTCGTTCGGACGCAACACCGAGGAGCCTCAAGTCTCCCCTATCTCTGGGGCTTGGGGAAGTCGCCGTTAAGTCATAAATTCAGCTAAGTCTCTACTGTGATTTCATTTTTTTTGTTTGATTTTAAAAATTTGTAACGGTTTCATCAACTTTTAGTTTCGGGATTTTTTGTAAAATTTGGTGAAATTGACCGCGAGACAAAAGTCACTGCCAAAAACAAGTAGAGAACTGAAGCTATAATTTTCAAGGTTATGTTAAGTATACTAACCTAGTAGTAAGAATAACAGTTGCTGGTGCAACCTCTTCCCTCACTGTTTGCTGCATTAAATGATAGGCCTGGCGACGACACTGGACTCTCGATATGGAAACTGAAATACACAGACGCAAGCTATTTCTTTTTGACGATATTATGTCTTCCCTGTGGCGAGCAGACTAGGCCTAGTAACGGCACTAATCACGTGGAGATGTTATGATATTTACTGTTTTATTTTAACTAGCTGTACATGAATGATGATCCTTTTGTATATTAATCTAGTTGATTTAAACATATTATATTGTTATGCATAGTTGGATATATTATATATATTTTTAAAGTTTTATATATTTTTTTGTGTCATAACTTCTCTGCTCTTCGTAACGAGGCGGTGCATTTGTGCCTTCCTCATTTTTATATGACCGTACTGAACTCTCGTAAGGCACATTTTGCATTTTCCGGAGCTTTTCCTCAAAAGGGTGAAGGATTTTTTGTTTTATTTATCTATTTTTATTATCATTAATTGTAAGAAATTCAACAACAACAAACAGACTGAAATGTGCCGCTGATTCGGCACTACTTAATTATTTTGTGTTTTGTGAAGTGGAATTTTGCTGTTATTGTATATAATTATTATATGCACGAGTCCTTGCGGTCCATTTTGTTAGCCCAGGACTAACCTGAGGGAGAGAAATATATTAATTTAAAATAAATAAACGCATTTTTATTTTCTTTCCATCACAAATATCGGAAAAGCTTTGAAAATGTTCAAATTTGCTGTCATAATTCTTGAATGGTAAGAAAAAACACTTTATTATTAAACAATCTTTATTAAGGAAGCGATTATCACAAATATGACAATTAAGGAATCATCGTTAGAGACATAATTACGACAGAGAAATTAACACATACGTATTTTAATTAGTTAAATAGCGCTTAGAGAACGATTTAATTTAACATTCACAGACTTTTTAATAAAATTTAGCCTAAAGTCGTTAAATACGTAAATTTTAATACTTTTTGGTTAAAAGAATGATAGTTTTGTCTCCTTGAGACTTACAAGTATATAAATAGGTACTATGAATAAGAAATCATTGACTAAACGTTTTGACTGTTTTGAGTAAAAATATCAGTCAGCACCAAAAAAATCTTGAGCCAGGCTCCACATTCATTCACATTCATACACTTTATACAAGTTATTTAATAAAAATATTTATACTCTTATCTTAAAAAAATATCAATTCTACATCTTCCAGTGGCTCAAAGATAAAAAGAAAAACTATTTCGAATTTATTTACAATAGGAAATAACTCAGATTCAAGGGTACTTCGTCAAACAAATTTTTGTTAAAGCGAGTTAAAGCAAGACCACCACCGTAATTAAATTTCTCCCTTGTCTGCAAAGAGTTACTCGAATATTAAGCCATTGGAAAAGATAGTCAAAATGTGTACGAACCATATTTTCGCAACACTTATGGTCGTACGCATTTTTCACATTTGTATTCACTAACGATTTCGTGACGACTTGAACTCCTTTTGGCAGTTTTGTGGAGTGAGTAGCATTTCGGACGGATACTAAAGGAGTACAAAGTCGCCACAAACGAATTCAATATACAAATAATAAAATCGTTTAAATATAGTCGAGTATTTCGTTTGCTTTCGCAAGTCGTTAAATAAATAAAAAAATTGTCATTTTTCTGGAGTATTGTGAGCTAAAAATGTCTTCATTACGTGAGGTAGTCGGGACTGGGTTCCGCCATAGGCTCGGGGGTGGTGAACAGAGGGTTGGGGAACTCAGGCGGATGGGGCAGAGGGCCGGTGGCTTTGGGCCTTCGACGGTAGGCCATCAGCCAGCAGGAGACCGCCACAGCCACCGCCACGAGGGCCAGCAGAGCTGTTATGATCAAAGCGATGATGAAGCCGATCATGGACACACAGATGTCTTCCACTCTCTGGGCATTTGGAGCTGCAAAATTCAATCAGTCATTCAAAATCAAATCATTTCCTAAAAAAACTTATTTACCTTCAGTGGGATCCACGAACCGTTCCTCACGTCTTTCAAACGTCAAAATCGCGTTACTTTGAATCGTTATTTCTTCTCTCAACTGTCCTGACATCAAATCGCCAGCAAGTGCCACGTCTGTCCTATTCTCATCATCGACGTCTCGTTTTCTTCGTCCAAAAGCATTATAACCGCGACAATTGACCTAAACACTTCAATTAAACCAAACAAAGTTTACCTTAATTGAAACTTACCGGTTGGCACTTGCCGAAACAAACCCTAATGTTACACTGGAACCTAATATTGTCACTACTGGGGAACTTGAAAGCGTTGAAACTCGCCAACAAGCTTTGTGTGTCAGAGTTGTGCTCCCACTCTCCGAAAATTGTAGGATCGGTAGCACAACCGTTCTCATCTGTGACTAAATACTCGTTTTCGACGTTATCTTCCATAGTTTTGGCCACACAACTCCTGGCGAAACCTCCATAGATAGATCCGGGTTGTACGTCTACTTGCAACATCAGGTTATCTCCGATTTCAGCCGAGTTGATTTCTTGGCCTGTTGGTGTAACAATCTTCATGGTACAAGTGGGGGGAGGACCGGTGTTTGCGATGGTACCAGCAGTGGTCAACATGGACACATTAAAGCCAAGAGTGACGTTTTGTTCGCCGGTTTGGTACACGCATTTGATGTGGTATGCCTGAGCTTTGAATGTCACAAGTTTGGGGTGTTTCTGGATCACCAAGACGAAGCTAGCCTGACCCTGGGTATCACATTTATGGTTATTAACTCGACTGACGATAAAATACGGTACTTACATTGACATGGATTAAACCACAATTTCCGAAATGGACTTTGAAGATTTCTGTTATGGGACTCGAGTCTGATGGTAGGGTGATTATCCTGCGACACTGTTCGTCTTTACTGTGCCCTTTCACATAAAGGACTCCATTAAATCCTTGCTCCGCGATGTGAATCTGGACATGGACACCATCGGACATGCAACTGACTTGCAAGTCAGGTGGTGGGAAATCAGTCTTGAACCTGGATGGAATATCTGGAACAACAAACGCATGAAATTCTCTATAAACAAAGTCAAAAATTTCAATCACTCACTGCATGATATTTTGGGGTCTCCGCTATATCCGTTAACGCATTGACAGATCGCGACGTGGTTTGTAGCATTACAGAACGCATTGACTCCACACTTCTTATGTAGGCAAGGATTTTGGCACGTTTTTGTTTCCGGATGGCAGTACTTGTCATCAGGGCACTGGTCGTCGGTTTCACACTCGCTTCCCGGTGGTGAGATACAGTTTCCGTTTTTGTCGAGTTTATATCCGAATTCTGTTGGACAAACACAGTTGCCTCTTTCGTCAATAATTAGTCCTTTTTCTAGTGCGCAGACACAGCGGCCGCGTTCGTCCACTTTGAGGCCCTTTTCTTCAAGACAAGGAATACATTCGTTGTTGTCGTTGAGGCCGGTGTTGGGGGGACACACACACTTGCCGTCGGGGGTCGTCACGAAGCCTTTGTCGGTCCAACAGGCCACTGAAAATTATAAACATGTTAACATGTAAGTTTAGAGATCGTGGATAACGGTTTTGTTTTTTTTTATAATTTTTTTTCGTAGTAAAACGAACCGCTGGGCTTGCTATCGTATTTTCGACCGCAACCATCGCCAGTAAATCATTTCGCATCGTAAAATGGAAGACTCTTTACCTAAGAACATTGGCAACGAAATACGAAGTTCCGAATTCACTAAAATTTTAATTTTACTCGCGTTGTAATGGTTAATAAATGGCACTACAGATTCCAACAAAGATATTTATCTAAAATTTTGTTTATAGCCACAATGGCTTAGGTCCTGCTTAATGCAAATATTTTCAAGATGGTGGCAATTCTGATTACACCGCAAGTGGGTATCAACTATATTATTTTAAACAGAAAGCTATGTTTTTTATTAAGTTTTTGGATTATTCAAGTAATTTTGACAGAGTTTTCATCAGGCTTCTCCATACCTAATTTCATAGTTTTCGAAGCGTTTAAACTTAAACCCTAAATTCATTAAAGTACAGTGTGGTTTTATAGATAGCCAAAAACGACTCCTACTGAGAGACGTTAATAAACGTATTATAAAAGCAAATTAGAAAAACAAAAATCCAAAATTACAAAATTCAGAATTAATACAAAT